CGCAATACTGTACTACTACATGCTTAAAATTCCATATTGGTACCTAAAGAACTGTTTTGGTCAGTGTAGTGTTTATGAGTTAATCAAACATTCACCGATCAAGTGAGAATATTGAGGGCCCGAAATAAAGGCTTTATTCGTTTTATAATTCCAGTATAGAATCTGGTTTAAACAAAAATGAAAGATGTGAATAGTGTATAATATAAATGCTAAACGTTTATGAAAATGTTCACACCACATTCTTCTCCCCTGTTGTTTGAGAATACAGAGCATAAGGAGTCAAGACTTTAAAATTGTTTAGACTTCGCGGCTTCTCAGATTGTATGGACGAACCCTTCGTTGTTTCTCTAGTAAAGAAGATGGGTTCGGATCAATTTTGACATTTTCACTTAAATTGTCCGTCAAAATAGGAGTTTCAGTATCTGTAGAACGGGTGGATATGTCGTCTTCAGTAAGTTGATTTTGGAGGCATTCTGGTACTGCGTCTGGAATCGGCATGCTAACGGGCGATTGAAATATATGTTCTTTTAGTGCAAGATGATGAATAGATACTGTTTCCTCACGTCCATCTGGAAGTCTCACATGAGCATACTTGGGATTACATTCAATCAGTTCAACTTCATCAACTGGAGATTCATATTTAGAACGTACATTACGGCGCATCAAGACCGGTCCAGGAATAGTTAACCAACTGGGAAGAGAAACACCAGACGTTGATTTTCGATTGTACCTGAACATCCGTTCGTGTGGAGTAGTATTTGTGGCAGTACATAAAAGAGAACGGATAGAATGAAGAGCGTCGGGGAGAACAACCTCCCACTCACAGATTGGTATGGACCTAGATTTAGCAGCTAGTGATATACATCGCCAGAGAGTGCCGTTGAGACGTTCAATCTGTCCATTTGATTGGGGGTTGTATGCTGTTGTTCTACTGGTAACTATTCCTTTATCGTGGAGAAAATGTTTTAATTCTGCAGACATAAACGAAGATCCTCTGTCTGAATGCATGTAGGATGGCATACCAAACAGGGAAAACAACTGGCACAGGCAATTAATAATAGTTGATGCTGTTATATCCTGGCAAGGAAAAGCGAACGGAAATCTAGAGTACTCATCAATTATCGTAAAAAGATATTTGTTCCGGGAGTTTGAAGGAAGAGGTCCTTTGAAATCAATATTTAGACGTTCAAAAGGAGAAGTCGCTTTAATAAGATTTCCTGTGGATACTTTGCAAAACCTGGGTTTCAGCTCAGCACAAACTGCACAACTAGATATCGTCCTCTTCACATCATCAACAGAAAAAGGTAGGTTCTTAGAACGCACAAAGTGAAGAAGGCGAACAACTCCTGGATGGCACAGAGAGTTATGTAGGTCTTTCAGATTAGTTTCACCCATGACAGAAGCAGAATATCCGCGAGATAATGCATCGGCGACTTTGTTTTCTTTGCCACAACGGTAGATTATATCAAAACTGTAACAAGAAAGTTCTATTCGCCAACGCTGAATCTTGTCATTCTTTATTTTCCCATGGTGGTTCATATCGTACATGAAAGAAACTGATCGTTGGTCTGTAATGAGTTGGAAATGAGTACCAAGTAAATAATGACGCCATTTTCTAATAGCTTCGACGATGGCATAAGCTTCTTTCTCCACCGCTGAGTGATGCCGTTCACTTGGTGATAGTGTTCTGGAAAAAAATGCAACGGGTCTACCATTTTGTGTTAACGTGGCAGCTATAGCAGTATCCGAAGCGTCGGTTTCAACTATAAGGGGCAAGTCGAGATCCACAGTAGTCATCACAGATTGAGCAAGTTCATTTTTTAATGCTGCATATGAGCTTACAATAGTACCTGGTAATGGAAAGATTTTATTTTGTATAAGGGGTTGAATTTTATCGGAGAAATGAGATATCCATTGTGAATAATACGCAAAGAGACCAATGACTCGCTGTTGGGATTTAAGATCTCGTGGAGGTGATAAATTCCATAATGCTTGAAGTCTATCGGGATCAGGTTTGATCATTTTATGAGAAACTTCATAGCCTAGAAGTTTTACTTGTTTAACGCCAATAACACTTTTATTCTCATTGAATGTTAGCCCATATTTTCTGGATGCTTCATAGAACCGGGCAAGATTTTTTGCATGTTGTTCTGTGTTTTCACCACAAATAGTTATATTATCTAAATAAGCAAATGTAGCTTGAAGATTTTCATTTCTGATAATCTGACTGATAACTCTCTGAAAACACGAAACACCGTTTGTGACACCAAAGGGAATACGACGGAACTGATAGAGGTTGCCGCAAGCTTCAAAAGCTGTGAAGAGTTTCTCTTCTTCTTTGATGGGTATTTGATGGTAAGCACTCTTTAAATCCAAAGTGCTAAATACAATATATTTTGAAATCTTTTCAGTCATCTCATCAATTTTTGGGAGTGGATAGGCATCCAATAATGTGAAACGATTTATCGTTTGGCTGTAATCAATCACCATTCTACGCTTGTGGCGTTCATTAGTAGTGACCAAAACTTGAGCGCGCCAAGGGGAGTTAGATGGCTCGATGATCTGCTCACTGAGTAAATTTTCGATTTCCAGCTTGATGAAATGTTCATCTGAAGTGGAATGTCTTCGTGATTTTGTAGCGATCGGAACACATTTGGGTGTTAGGTTATGAAACAAGGGAGGTGGATCAATATGTGCAGCAACAAGATTACACAGTGAAAATGGATTGTTTTTACCTTCAAATGGAATTTCGAGTTTATTATGCAAGCGTAAAAAATCATGACCTAATAGCACATCAGCACACAGATTTGGCAACACTGAAAGTTTGATATGTGAGTAACTCGAGTCTTTATAACGTAGATTTACATAACAGTGACCATGAGTATGAGTTGTCAGACTTGTGGAAGCCATTGTAATTGAAGTGCGAGAATGCTCTACCTTTATATGTTGTTTTTGAACGACTGCACAAGAAATATAACTGTCTGAGCTCCCAGTATCTACGAGGGCTTGTAGGGGAATGTCATTTACAAAAAGCTGCACAACCGCATTGGAGAGAGACTGTGGAGCGGCGGCTAGAGTCATGGAAGACAACAAAGAACTAGTAACAAATGTAGTTTTGGTGTACGATTTTGACCAGCAGACCTTCTGATAATGCCCCTTCTTACCACAGAGTTTGCATACTGCATCCCTTGCAGGACATTTAGAGCGAGGATGTCTAGTAAATCCACAGAAGTAGCATTTCTCATTTATTGAAGCAGTCAATCCTGTTTCACCCACATAAGAGTTTAGTTCATTTGATGTATCACTGTTTGATATTGCAGCAGAATTGGAGAATTCGGAAGGATGAAACGAATGGGATTGTTGATATACCATTTCTAGGGATCGAGCTTGTTCATAAGCAGTATCAAGATCAAGTAATTTGTTTTCCAGAAGACGTTGTCGTATATTATTAGATTGCATTCCACTTATGAATGCGTCACGTATTGCATCATTCTGATTTTGTTCAGCCGAGACAGGTTTGAATGAACAATCTTTTGCCAGAGATTTCAGTTTTTGTATAAATTGGTCGAGGCTCTGTCCAGTTTCTTGTTTGCATGTGGATAATAGATGTCGAGCAAAAATCTCGTTCTTTGGTTTGACATACAGTTTCTCAAGAGTACTAAGAGCGCCGTCAAATGTTTTACATTCAGCAATGTATTCATATACAGTAGGTGAGATATAGTTGATGAGAACATCAAGTTTGTCTGAATCTGGAGTTGAAGATTTAGTGATATAAGTATTGAATGTACGAAACCAATGATTCCAAATCTTCGAAGATGTTTGGCAATTGGAATCAGCATCAAAGCGTTCAGGACGTAATATCTTGTCCATAATAAAACGAATAAATTGTAGTGTTTATGAGTTAATCAAACATTCACCGATCAAGTGAGAATATTGAGGGCCCGAAATAAAGGCTTTATTCGTTTTATAATTCCAGTATAGAATCTGGTTTAAACAAAAATGAAAGATGTGAATAGTGTATAATATAAATGCTAAACGTTTATGAAAATGTTCACACCACAGTCAGTCGCTGGTTTAAAAAAGCCTGTAATTGAAATCAATCGGTTTAGAGCTAAGTTTATCATTACTCATTAGTCCTGTGTTAGTCTACCTATCCATGTGCGTCACTCATAACATGGCTAAGTAAATTTTCTAAATTTAACTTTGTTTTACAAAGTCAGAAGTTTACTAACAAGTAAGCAACACTCACTGTATTAGGCGTAATCATACCAATCAGTTTGTCCAGACTGACATAGGTCGAGCGGGATCCCAACCTCCGGGACCCTGCTACTTAAAAGTGAAAGATTTGGTTACAACATTCCTCTGTTCAGATATTCTGGATTACATTCCTTCACTCTAATATAAGCACACATTCGACGATGTATCTGGCAAACCAAGAGCAACACTGGTCACTAATTCTCTAGGGGAAATTCATTCAAAGGTTTCTGACAGTTATGCGTTAAGGCACTCCACTTACCATTTATTTATTATTGTTATTCCCTTGGTTCCCAGTGGAACATATAGGGCTTCAGCAGCATAATGGTATTTCACTCTCTTCTGTCCAGTCTTATTTTACCTGGATCCATTATTGCCCAAAAACTTCCATTTCCTCTCCTCCATATCACCTTTTGGTCGACATCTCTTGAATGTCTGTCTCCCCAACATATTTCTACTCCATCTCTACTTCCCTTTGTATATTTGTTGGGCATTAAGTCCATGGTGTGTTCATTCCACAACAGGAGTTCCTTGGTACTAATCCTTTCTGTCCGGCAATTTGAACTTCAATGTCAATCTCCTAGTTTCCTTGCCGGTCGTAAATTCGGAGAAAGAAAGGCGTGCGATCATCAACCCAACGGTGAAAAATCAATCAATAGCCACAGAAACTTCAAAGCACTTTATTTTAACAAAAAATTCTAAAATTGCTTTTCTAATTTGTCATATCTTATTTTATCTTTTACAAGGGCCTCCCTGTAAGAAAACAATTTATCCGTGCATTGTCCCACATAAATGCATATATTATCCGCATCCTTAGTCCAGATTCCTGTGAAATGACATATGTTACACATTGTGATCCTCGTGGTAAGTTTTATATGCCTATCAGTTATTATCATTGTATGTATATATGTGTGCGTTTTATGTCTTGTTTCCCTGCATCTTAACATAAAATCTGAGGTTTTGCTTCTTATGTGATTTCTGTCATTTCATATAATACTTGTAGGTTTGAATAATACCAGAGTTACTGCATGTTTTACTCAATTTTTGGTTTAGTTTAGTTAAGTTCGAATTTCCACTAGTAGTCTTCTTTTTTTCTGTATATGTGGGTGTTTTTCTATCTAGTATGCAATACGGATAAGTGGACTGCCTGGCTGGTTTCAACGTAGATCTTTGCACAGATGTGCAGCAGTTCACCTTGTCACTCTCCTTCCATGTAGCACACAAAGCCAGAGAAGAAAGGTTAATCGACACTGAAAAGATAGACAGCAAACAGAAATATGAGGTGAAAAGAATAGTTATATGGAAGAACTATAGAATTTTATTCCACATGTCAAATCACAAAGAGTGAATGCATCTGCGCTATCCATTGAGAACGATTTTGAGCCGTTTCACCGATTGTCTTGAGCCTTCATTGGTTTTTACCATCCCGAAGACCTCAACCAGAGAGTCCACACCTCCCTACGTGGCTGGCTAGTTCGAACTAACTGTTATTGATTTCATTAACTGGTGAAGGCATGTTTAGGTTTTACCACCACGAGCTATCTCTTTTACAACAATGTGATCTATCCTATGTCAGCTTACATTCTCCGTCGAGAAAGGCAATCGATGGCTAGGCATGCATGCGTAACTCATGTCCTAACCATCTGAATCAATGCGGCTGCTTCACAACCCCGTCGATTGACTTTCACTTCCCTTCTCACCTAGCACTCGGCCGAAGTCTAACCTCAATATTATCCACCCTGTTATATCACCTAATGTGGAAGATAGAACGCTGACATCCATAATCAAGGACTGCAAGCCAGGCTTTTCATGTCTTCCACTTTCAATGACCATGTCTCACTCACAGCCGGCCATAAAGGAGAACAGAGAGAACTGCTGCTGTGCAGTACACACGTCCTTCGGTTGAAAGCCAGCCGGATATGACGTGTACTAAACCAGAGATGGCATAAGTTTGCAGGCATATGCCGAACGAGCCTCCTGTATCCATTCTGAGATTTCGTTAGCGATCAACCACTTGGCGTTGGCTGATGCAACTTCCTAAACAAGTGTAGTGGTCAACACAGTCAGCAATCACTTCAATCGCTATCATTAAACTAGGAATAAGTCAATGTCGTTCAGTTCTGTAGCATCATCTTACATTTAGCAGAGGGAGCGAATCGTATACCAAGCATTCGAAGATTGCTGCTCATCAAGGTGTGTTCAGAAGACTGTGCATCTTGTCAACGTCTCCACCTTGAAGGACTATATCATCTGCATATTCTAAGTCAACGAGATTATTCCTTGGTGGCAACAAGTCAATCCTTGAGTCGTTGATGTCAGTTAGGTTTAAGTCCATTAGTACACTAATGTGAAGTCAAAATCTCCCTAATCCTCCTCCTGTAAGTGGAACTGTTCACATCTATTGATTTAGTAATTAGCAGTCTATATTTGCATCCACTCTTCCATATCTTCAAGAATAAACACCAAGTTCTGCGTTAAGATGTTATTCAGTCATACATACCACAGCATATTATTAAGTATGATCTAATGATCAGAACACTTCACGATTTTGCGTGTCATCCTTGCGCAGGGGTCATGCTAATCTTCTCTGTATCGTTCCAATTTTAGTATATGTACCACCGAAGCGAGTACGTGCGTCGGTGATACGCAGACGTAGAATGCTCGCCAACCACGCAGGTAGTTTTGGGTTCGATCCCCGGGTACAGACGCACTCCTTTACCTCTCTAAGCCAGTAATATAAGACTGGTAAAGAGGGAAGGTTGGTTGGGTATGAGGCTAGCAACCATATCCCGTAAAAATAAACACCACTGCTACAGAAACCTCAAACCTCTAGCTTGAAACCCTGTGTTTCACTGGGAACGTAAAGGAATTTAAACGAACAAAAAATGATCAGAACAATGCATGAAGATCTTTTTTTTTCCTTCACGTTCCCCAGTGGAACACAAGGTTTCAAGCTAGAGGTTTGAGGTTGCTAGCCTCATGCCCAATCTTTCCTCTCTACCAGCATTATTTCTGGCTCAGCGAGGTAAAGGAGTGCGTCGGCCGGGGGTCGAGCGTCCTAACCGCTATACCACCGACGCACCATGAAGATCTTGCTATCTACAAATTAACATGACTAAAGTACACATGCTTTTACTTTCCCATGTATAGTTTATGTACTTCCTTATAAGATTTACTCCATTAGAAAGCACGTGTTCACATTTTGTTTATATATTTTTTTCCTAAAAACAGCCTACGCAGTGCAGTGAGAGATAAATAAATACCTACTTCATGAGATTTAATCATTATTAATAGAAAGTGTAAGGACAATTTTAAGGCGTGTTGTAATAATAATAATTATTATTATTATCATGGATTATTGAAGATACAAAATACGTAGCCGTATTTAACTACAGATGTTTGCTTCCTATCTTGAGTTAAATGGTATAATACGGTGAGTCATATTGAGATTAGGTGTAGGGTGTTAGGTGGTGGTAAGAAGGAAAAATGAATCGATGAGATTGTGAAGCAGCTGCATCGATTGAGATGGTTAGGAAATGTGTTATGCATGGCTGACTAGTCATCTATCTCCTTCCTCGACGGAGAATGTAACCCGACATAGGATCGGTGAGGTTGGAAAAGAGATAGCTAGTGGTGATCAAACCAAAACATGGCTTCATCAGTCGATGAAGTCTTGGACAGTTGGTTTTGGCTGGCCATATAGGGAGGGAGAAAACGTGTGGACATCCGACTATCGACCAAAGGGCGTGTGTACTGCTCAACAGTCCGCTCCGTCCTCCTTTATGGCTGTGAGACATGGCCATTGAGAGCAGAAGACATGAAAAGATTACCTGTGTTCGATCATAGGTGTCTGCGTTCTATCTCCCGTGTGAAGTGGTATAATAAGGTGAGCAATATTGAGTTTAGGCGTCGAGTGCCAAGTAAGGCGGGGAAATCAGTCGACGAGACTGAGAAATAACATCGACTGAGATGGTTAGGACATGTGTTACGTATGCCTAGTCATCGCCTTCCTCGACGGGCAATGTTAGCTGATATAGGGCCAGGCTGGAAAAGAGCTAGCGGCGGTCAAACAAAAACATGGCACCAGTCAATGAAATCGTCAACAGTTAGTCTAAGCCACGTAGGGAGGTGTAGACTTCCTGACTAGTTGGGGTCCTCGGGATGGTAAAAACCAATGGTTGGAAACAATTGGTGACATGGCTCAAAATCGTTCTCAGTGGCGCAGATTCATCCACTCCTTGTGACTTATAATTTCCAATGAAACTGTTTTGTCCTCCGTTATTACTATACCTTTGTCTCACACCTCTGTTTACTGTCTATACTATGCATTTCTTCTCTTTCTTTGTGTGCTACATGGAGTGTGGCGACTTGAACTGCTGCACATCGGTGCAAAGTTCTATGTCGAAAACCGACCGACCGGACTACCTGCTCGAGTTCCTCAAGATTCTAGGAACCAATCGGTTGATATTTCTGAGGATATGGCTTAAAGTCATTTTGAATGGCTCAGATGCATTCACTCTCTGTGATTTACTACATCCACTAAAACGTCGTGTTTTTCGATGGTGCTATTCATTCTCCTTCACATTTCTGCTCATAAACTGTTATGAACCTTTGTTTTCTTCACCTTTGTATGCTGCATGGAGTGCAGCATCTTGAACTACTGCACTTTTGTGCAGAGGTTATGAAGTTGAATCGATTGAGGTATCTAAGACACGTGTCTCGCATGCCGAACCATTGCTTTCCTCGACATGCAATGTTAGTCAACATAGGATTAGGCTGGAAGAGAGTTAGTGGTAGCCGAACCAAACCTGGCATCAGTCTATTAAAACTCTGACAGTTAGTTTGAGCCTTGTTGGAGAGGTGTAGACTTCCTGGTTGTGATCCTCGGGATGGTTAGAACCAGGGGCTGGAGGTTATTGGAGATATGGCTCAAAGTCGTTCTCAGTGGTGTAGATGCATTTGCTCTTTTTAATCTCCCTTGTCAATTCAACCCTCATATTATTTCCACGTTACTACTGCACTTTCGTGTACAGTTCTGTTTTTGAAACTCAGTCTTGAATCCAGTCTAGCCAGTACGAAGCTCAAAGAAGAAGGCAAAATAGGAGTAAAGCAACCAACCAACCCTATCCTTTTGAAACAACATTGCCGCTGCTGAAACTTCAAAGTTTTATATTCCACTTGGAACTCAGTAGTTGGTATTAGGTGGTTGGAGGCAATCGACAGGAAGCCCAGTTTGACCAAGGCTTCAATCTAACTGGCACTCACCAGTCAGCAAGGCGTATCTGCAACCTTCTGTCTGTCTGTCTGGATTCAACATAGAACTTGGCACCGAAGTGCAGCAGTTCGAGTTGCCACGTTCAAAATACCACACAAAGGTAGACAAGAAAATGAGTGAAGAGAATCAATAGAGTTTTGACAAGTATAAGAGTGAAACAGAATGAGTAATGGTAGAAAGGAATATGAGATTGAATATTACAGAGACTGAATACATCTGCGTGAGCCATTGACAACGATTTTGAGCCATGTCACCTATTGTCTCCAGCCATTGATTCTTAGAGTCCCGAGGGCCCCAACCCGGAAGTCTGCATCTCCCTATCTGACTCAGTTTAACTGTCAGGGATTTCATGGATTGATGCCATGCTTTTGTTTGGCCACCACTTACTCTTTTCCAACCTGCACCTATATCAGCTAGTAATGCCCGTCGGGGGAGGCGATGGTTAGGCATGCGCAGCACGTGACCTAGCCATCTCAATCTATGTAACTTTATAGTCTCTTCGATTAATTTTCCCTCTTTGCCCAATACTCTACGCCTAACGTCAACATTACCTAACGTGAGAAAGAGATCGTAGAGATCTATGATCAAA